ATATTTATCCACCCAAACCTTGTTGGGTATCAATGTTATACCTAACACTCCTCTTCAAAGCAGAACTTCAAAACAACATACATGGAAAAGTTGGAGATATATTCAGGAAGTGATGGGAAGGAACTCAAGGGAAAAAAAACACAGAAACTCCAAATTTATAAGTGAATTATTTCCTACAAAAAAAGAGAAGAATGCAGTAAAGCTCACTCAAAAGGATTACATCTCAAATAATTAAAGAGAAAGGCTCAAGCATATAAAGCCTTGGTGTTCCAGGCATGGGGGAAAAAATTATATAAAGCCACCTTGTCATGAATATGCTCCAAGTGTTTAGGACTGCCCTACAGAATTTTATTTATTAAGACTTTTTCTGGCAGGAGAAGAATTCAGAGGTGGGGAGAAGAGGAGAGCTGATGAACTGTTGGAAACCAACGTTTGTTTGTTTGTTTGTTTATTTATTTATTTATTTTATTTATTTTGTCAAGCAATTATAAGATAACAGGTATAAGTATAAACATAGTTAATACATAGTTATACATTAAATGGATACATATAAGAAAAATAAAAAAGAAACAATAGGACAGGGACGGTAGACACGTTGGTGCACTTATGCACGCCCCCTACAGACCTCTTAGGAAAGGGGCGAGGTCAATAGTAGACAGTCTAAGGTTTAAAGCTTTTGGGGTTTGGGGGAAGAAACCTCTGAAACCTCTCTACTACTAAGCTCCAGTTGACAATTAAATTCCTATATAATTGAGAACTGGCATGTGAAAAAACCCGTCCTAAAAGTATTGGTGTAGTGGTTAAGGGAACAGGCAAACTGGGAGAACCATGAATCCTAATCTATTAGTAACATGCCCATCTGAATGCATGCCACAGAGCAAAGCACCACTTAATAAAATGGTATAAAACAGAGCTACTCTTTCTCTTTGCTGCCAGGACATAGTTCATTGGTATAGGCTTTCACAATCAAATAGCAACTAAATAATAATAATATATTAATTGTACTGGGGAGGGGAGTGGGAAATCTGATTTTCTTTCTGTTTAATAAGCATTAGGAAAGTTCATCAGAAGGCAATCTGT